ATGTATCACGTCATATCTGTTCTAAATGGTCGTTATGAGACAATCAACTGAATTTTATAACAGTTTCGAGTGAAAATTTGAGATGATAAGTCTTGCAGAACGGCCGCGTAAAAACTGGTCTTATATTCGAAATTATTTTACATTTTTGGAGGATTGTCTCTTGTGTATTATTGTTCGTCAATTTGCGTCGCTGTCTTCTTGGATGCGTTTTCTAGCCAGCCTAGGTTCTAATGTCCTCGGGACACAGATAAAACGACTAATGAGAGTTACGTGCACTAACGAGAATTGCGCCAAAACGTTTTCAGAACTATTAGCTTACACGGAGTTCCGAAGTTCCCCAATGAATTGAGTAAATGTGTTACGTAGCCACTTTTTCCACTTCACGTCCGCTTTCTACTTTCCACGGACGCATTGGGTTTTCACATCCCAGGAGATTATCGTGATGGATTTCTGTCTAACTAATGCGAATTTCTCATATTGTTAGGAAAGCATCAATTAATTGGTTCTAGCAACTTGCAAACACTTGAAAAATTATAAATACACGGCCATAGAGTATGAGTGCTTGTCTGAACATATATTTCTCCACGATTAGGTCACCCGGTTTTGAGCAACGTTCATCTTGTATTTGGTACAATTTACTGGTCATCTAATAACAAAGATGCGAGGTTCCGAACTCAAGCTGTTATATGTCTTTTTGCGCCTATCAGCAAAGCATGTCATCCGTAGTACCGGAATGTGAACTCCAGACACGGGGCGGGTCCCATTGTGTGGACCTTATTTAGCACATTTGACAGGGCGACATTCTTCACACATGACTAGTTTAAAAGGTTTACCCAACACACCGAAAGACGAGCTGGTTTATTCGGTTGATAAACACGCCTGTAAGGCGTTCCGAGTCCGTTATCCTTGATTAAAACCAAACTCTTTTCGAGAAATACACTCATTTGCAAATCAATTTGATTTTCACGAGAGACTCAAATGAATCTCTCGTTTATGATGTCCTCCAGCTGAATGTGCTGCACACAGGCCGCCTCATGATTCAGTTTGCACGATATTCGAGATATCGCAGTATATTTTCATAAAAAACTACTACTGACAGCCCACGACCAGTTTCGCCCCTCTTGAGGCTCATCAGGTGGGCGCAGAACATAAGGTTGACGGAACCTCGGGGACTGCGCCTACCTGATGAGCCCTAAGAAGAGCTAAATCGGTCGTGGGCTGTCGAAGAGTTTTCAGCAACCTTGTGAGTAGATTTTTTTATGAAAAAGACCAAACTCTGTTACAGTGGATAAGGTCAGGGAGTACCACTCCGACGACCCGAGTTTGAACCTTAATTAGACAACCTTGAATCGGCCACTCAACTACATCCTGATAACCTGTACACATAAGATTCCGCAAAGAAGACGGAACAAGGATTAGTGCTATGTTCTCCGGTCTCTTACCTATTAACGGAACAGAACTATTATGACAAGAGTGATGTGCATCCGGCAAACACCTATAAATTATTCAATCTGTTGTAGAATATTACAATAGTTTCCGCACGGATAAATGGAACGTTCCACAAGAACAGACTATGAATTATGCGTTTTCGCCTACTCATTTCGTGCGCTGAAACTTGTTTCACGAAACCTGCGCAAACAAAGATTAGCTGGTATGACAATTTTTTCAACTGCTCCCGGTTGTTTTGTGTCGTGAATAAGAGTAGAACTGGCATACGTAGTGCGTACAAGAGTCGAATGACAACTTACCCAAATGTTTTTAGGTATGAGGCTATCAACGGATGTCCTTGCAATATACCATTTACTTAGTTCCTTTTACTTGTGGTGAAAAATTTGACTTATGCTTGATTGTTTTCCATAACAAAATCTATTCTATAGGAAGTCAAAAAATTGAACAAAGTAATTTACCATTTCAAGATCAAGGTCTTGTCACATGTCGCTTAATTAGACCAGATCTACATGCTGCTAATCAAGGAATATTCAACCCAATTCGTTGTTTTGAACTCAAGGTGAATTTGGTTCTCTAGCTGACGAGGTCAACGTATTTTTGCAGTCCTTAATCGATGGGTAAGATTTGGTTTCTCACGTTATTCTAAACAAAGATGACAGTTTAGAAGTAATATGGTACAATCACGTGCGACATCTGTTTATGTACGTTCTGAAGAGTAGTTAGATAATAAAATTGGTATACATGGACGGAACATACTCATGATGTTGCTGAAAACGATTCCACAGCCCTTCTTTGAGCTAATAAGGCAGGCTCAGTGGCCAAGTGCATGTCGACGTGGTGTTCCACTTGGAACAAATCTGACATGATTTATCTACGACTCAACTGAATCCCAGCTGAATTTCTCGCTCAAGCTCTGTCGAGATGGAGTACTGCGGCACGTCGAAAAATGGGCGCAACTGTTTGTGTATCATATTCACGTGAAGAACATGGTAAACGAGAGATGTAGCTGCCACCCAGTTGAGTCGTCCTAATTAGTATGCAAATGGGTGTATTTCACGAGTTACTGCAGACAGCGGTTCAAGAATTAGAAAAATAATGTCCACAGACGGTTGACGTAATATCCTGCCACCATTTTCCGACTGATTGCAACTCTTGGATGAATGATCTCGGATTAGACGACGATACCGAATCAAGTTACATTTGAAAATGAATTTCAAACTTGTTCTGAGCAATCCATTATGTTAACTTTTGCACATTTCTCAAAATGGCCTTCAAGTATAAAAATTGATAAATCTAGCAACTTGTTTTCATCCAGATAGTTTTAGGCCCCCGTTTTACACTGATTGTTTGCTAACTGTTTACTGAAAGAGTCGTATTTAGCCTCCTCATTATTTATCAGCCAAACATAACCGTTTTTGCACAAAGTTGAAAGATTTTGAGAGTACACAGCAGCTGCCACACCCACTTTGGTTTTCTTTGGTGCCTCGACCAACATAAATGCCGTCAGCAAAAAATTGCCTATACGGTTCATTAGTTCTGACAGCTCGGAAAGAAGGAGAAGATAGCCCATTAAATCTTCATTGCAAAATAAACACGATGATGAATGGGACGGGACATTTTTGGAATTGCCACTCGTATTGTAGACGACAGAAACTTTTTTGGTTTTTGTCTGTTTGGTTCACTGGTGAACCGTAAAAAATCTAAATGAGTTAATTTCATTTCGGATTTAGACAACACAATTCCAAAATAAGCGACTTATTATAAGTTAAAGTTATCTGGATGAGTCTAATGGATACTATGCTTAGTATAAACGATATGAGAAATGCTAATAAAACATCATTGAATAGAATGTTAGGGAGTGGGAAACCCATTCCTCAAATCTCTCGGTGTTCATGAGTTAATAATAAGACGCAGAGCCACGCAGGTTCTGCGCACCACTTATTATGAATACCTATTCCGCAAAACCTTAACTTGCAACCAAAAATCTGCCCAGTGGGGTTTCAAGCGTGTCACGCTGCCTGACTGGGAAGTCCTGACTGGCGGGTCAATCGATCGTCACAACCAGGACAGTTACTGGGTCGTCGTTCGATGAGTCGGGCACACCACCCACATCGCTCAAGTGTGAACACGTTCGCCTATTCAGATGTGATAATTCAGATGCGTCCAACGTGCCATGGTGGAGTAGTGGTTGCACGCTCGCCTCGCATGTCAGATGTCCGGGGTTCAAATCCCTGCACGGCCATTGGATAGGCGCTGCTGATGAGCACTAATAAGAGCGAGAGTCCAGTGCAGTGCTTCCCTTTGATGTGGACTCATCGGAATAATTACGCCAGAACAGGAACACGGCCGTTCAAACGAAAGTGGTGTCGCTATGATCATTCAAGTTTCGCCAAAAATATGATGAATAGGATGAGTTTCCTTGAAGTCCTCGACGTGTGTAGGTTGGAGGTTAACATTTCCAGAACCGGATCGAGGACATAATTTACCTACTATGATTAGTCATAAACCTAAACAGCATACAGAGCTCTGGCACTCAAAGTAGGGACATACTCTTCCTTATTTTTTCAAGTAGTCAGTCCACCAATCACATGACCAGGAACATTGCACTTTTCAGGGAATCGATTTTTGCGAAAACCGTGATATTTACAAAACTACGTCTTTTTCACAGATTGGTTTTATTTTCGCATGGCAGAATGTGTGCAGTTTGTCTCCTTTTTAAGGCTTGGGATTTCCGAAATAAACGTTCTGGTTTGGGGCTTTAATTTTGTAATATGTGTTTCATTCGTTTTATTTTATTGAATATTTATTTATTTTATTTGGCAGATTTTCAAACGTTGCATAACTAAGCACAAACAATGTAAGACCAAACGGTATCCGCAAATTCCTTTCGATGGGGACAAAAATGTAGAACGATTGAATAGATGCAAGAAACTAAAAGATTCATATATATGTGATTAGTATCCTTCTTTGCAACTGTGATCCGATGAGAGTTTATTCACTACAAGTGAATAGTGATGCCTTTCTTAGGTGTGTTGGAGGTATTGTACATTAACCAAACCAAAATCAAAATCCTGACTTATAGAATTTTTTAAACAATTTTTATCAAACCTCAAAAGAGGATCTCGTGGATTTCAGATGAAAAATGTAACAAACTGTGTAAAGTTCAGTTTTGTACACTTTAAAAACTTTCTCCGGATCTCTCATAAGGTTGTCTCTCTGGAAAGCGCGAAGATGGGTATCTAAGCACACCACCAAGCTCGCTCACTCACATGGGTCATGTGTACTTGAAAGCAAATCCAGTCAAGCGAAGTACCGCGATATGGTTTATTCATCCTAGTTCAAGTTTAGATGTCGCACAAAGATTTCGTAAAGATTTTGGGTCAGCAGGCGGTGTCGATCGACTTCCGCGACTGATAATATTCTGGATCGTATCAGTCGTGATCGGTTTCGGGGTACTCGCTATATGATAGTGAAGGCTTGCTCCTTGTCGACTGGTTTTGGCCAACACGGGACCTAGAGGAGACCCCACCGCGACCCCACCGTTCTGTTGATTAGTTAAAAGTAAACTGAACATTCTGGGCACAGATAAGCAGTAGTTCCTTCAGGTCCAAGACAGGAATGCTCATATCTTTGCCGTTGCACTCGGTCAAGTCACAGTCATAGTCAGTGATCTCAGTGAGTGTTAAGTTAATGGACAATGGCTCGACCTTCACGGATAACATAGAGTGTGCATCGGTTGACAAAATCTAAACTGTCTCTCAGTCTGTGTGTTAAAACTCCTTTCCTGATTGGTTCTAACAGAGTGACAAGCCATTTAGCCAAGGAAAATTAGACATATCGAATGTTTACCGTAGAGTTAGACCGGGTTGATGCACTTTTGGGAGACCATGAATCTAAGCCCGAATCCACTTGAAATTATTGATATTAATTTTCTCGGATTGTTTAACACATTTTAATGTTTTAGACACCACTTTTTCAATCGCATGCGTCTCCTATCTCAAGGATTCTATTTTCTTAAATTTGGCTCTGTCTGACAGGATTTTAGAATAAGAATGTGGAATTTTAGACGTGTTCATATGCGAGAAGGCAGTCGCTCAAGTGATAAACAAGAGGTGTATCTGCTCCTCAGAGAACTTTCCTGCATAGCCTACTATATGAAATTGCTTGCTGTCTCAGATGACTGCTATGTTTTATGGATCGTCAGATTCACGCGAGCAAGACACTGTGATCATACGAAAACCATGTTAGCGTCTTTCATTGGTTGTCTCTGTGATAATTTTATTTAAGTCTGTGGTACATGAATTCCCTGTAAGTGAGAACCATCATTCACTTGGGAATAGCTGTGACAGACCCTCCTCCAAAAATGGAAAGTTGCGTCTTCACGACCTTGACCTCAGGTAATGAAGTCTTTCCCAAAGCCGAAACATGAACTAGAATATTGCTTTATAGCAATATTATTAAAACATGTTCAAACATATTCACCATTGTTTTAGTCATGAAGCGTTGGCCCGGGGATAGACCAAAGTCCCAAAATAACACCAATAAAACCGTCGCCTATCAGTGGTTTCTCTTCGGGATTATAACTTTACTTCCTGACAGGTTGTTGAAGCTGGTAAAGGTGGCCTGAGAACATCACAAACGAGAGATTCAGCTGGGTTCCAGGTGAGTCTCCCGATAAACCAAATTGGTTTGCAAATGAGTGTATATTCCCAAAGTGAGTAAATTTAGTAAGATGTTGAACGTAAGAAAAACTTGATGAAAACAAATTCGTCAACCATTTCAGTATGTAAATTTAGTTATGTGCATAAAATTTCAATCAGTTTGGACAAAACTCGCCGACAAAGGTGTTGGGTACGCTGCTGTATTGTTGAAGGAAATGGTAATAAACTGAACCGTTGTGGTGAGAACCACAATACTAGTTAATTACGCCTTTGTGTAGACAGATGTATCTGAAATGTCGCTTTTAAATGGATTATTGCAGGCAAGACAAAGAGTTAACTTATCGGCCCGCCATACAAAACCACTGATGTGACTTGAACTTGGAATAGTTTATTTTAGGATATGTAGACGGTACATGTTAAAGTTCTCAAAGACACTGAAAAAATAGAGTCGGGTTCCCAATATAATCTACTGGCTGTAACCCGCCAAGGTGTGGCGCCTAAATGTGTAAATTTGTTAGCCAAAAAAACCGTGACCGGTAGTTTCAAGTTTTGTACTCCGAGAAAATTGCACTTGCTCTACTTTTGTGCTGGACGAATGTCATTCGACCACGCCATAATTTTTATGCCTCGCTTTATCGAAGCTTTTTTACCCCTAATGGTTTTATCTTGATTAGCATAGATGTACTTGTGCACGTGTAAGCCTCACGATTGGGAAAAAGGTACTGGTTCTTCAAAACGTCTTTTACTAGCAAAATGATTATGCATGTGTCAGTTCGAAACCTTATGATAATCATTTTACAGCTCAACAAAAGCATTTTCCGCGTTGTTTGCAGCACTGATTGATGATCAACTATTTTTTCTGTTTTATCGCTATTCTAGGGGTCATTAATTTGCGGTGCCCCAGAAAGTTTGTAGCTGCAACATCAACGTGGGTATTTTTTACGTTTGAAGATTAATCGTTTTTTATCCATCCGTACTGTCTGGTAATGCATTTACTCAGACTCGGGTTGTCATTTACGCAGAGGCTTTCAATTGTTTCACATACCCTATTCGGAAGAATTCTACTAGAACTGCCGAGCACAACTGCGCTGCACTGCACGTTCGTTGGAACTAATTTTGGGCAATGTAATCTCTTTAGTGAAACCTTTGCATTGCCCAAAAATAGATAAAACGAACGTGCAGTCCATTGTAATTTTGCTGGGCAGTTTTTTTGTAATTCTTCCGAATGGTGCGTGTGAAATAATTAAAAGCATCTGTGTAATGCACTCTCTTTACTGAAGTCTCGGGGCGAGAGCGTGAGTTTACACTCAGGAAAGCCCATTTTTCAAGCCCGATCTCTGCCTCCCGACTTCCCCTGTCTGGGCTTGGGCAACTTGGTAGTATCCCAGCTCTCGTGCTCCCTTTGGGCGGCATGACAGCTAGGCGCTGAAAGGGTGCTACAGTTGAACGAATATTAGTATCTTACTGAAGCCTTGTTTTAAGCTGTCTACAGGAAGCAATTTCTATGTTTACATTACGGTGCTCGCATAATGTGTCAATGGGTCTATCATAAGCTTTAATCGGTCGTCGCACTTCAGGTATCCGTACACTTTCTTCTTATGCCATGCAGACCTACTTCATCTTTGTAACTCAGCACCCGTCTGTACAGTCCGGTACAAGCCACGTTCCTGACTGTCTTGAGTTCAGGTGCTNCAGGTGCTTAGAAATTCCGCGATTGCCTGCACTGCTGACCCCACCAGTGGGCAATAATGGTGCTAGTTAAGCATCTGATTCGTTTGTACGTCCACTTTTGTCCGATATTCTGGCGTCCAATTAAATGAACCACACAAAAGAAAAACTGTTAAAATGATAACTAATTAATCGCAGACTAGTCAGCGGCTTGGTTCAACGTCTGAACTAGGTAGATTGTCTAGATGTCTTAGCCAAATTGCTACTAGCGCTCCTGAAATCAATAATTATACTCCAAAATCCTTGGGATAAATATGGTTACATGCTACATTGTAACGCGTGGGTTACACTTTTTCTGCTGGAGCACTCTAACTTGCAAATGGTAGTCAGGCGATACAACGATAAAACGTGCGCGCGCACACGCGCAATCGCTTGAAGTATTCAATGGACCTGAACCAAATTCGTCATGCTCCAAATATTGTGATTAGCTTTCAGAAGCGGTCAGAATGGAATGAGTGAAAAAGTTGCTCAAGTCGCCTTGTGAACATAGAGACCACTTCCAAGTGTGCTGCACCAATGTCTAATTTTAAAAACTTATGTCGTTTGCCTAAGTATACTGCAATACTGCCCGGAGAAAAAAAGCGTTTCTCAATAAGGTAACAAACCTCACTTGGTTGAATGAGGTTCCTTTGTGTCATCTAAGCATGACCCCAACCCACCTTTGGTTGGGTTGCGTTAGGAAGAGCAGACAACGATACATCTCGGAAGCTGCATTGCGCTCCAAATCTGCTGTAGGACAGATAGAGTGCTCAATGATAAGACCAAATTTTCACAGTGAAAACGACCAGTGGCTTGAACTATACGTCACTTTTGCTTGGTTTAACTCATGAAATTGGAATTCTCGTGATTTAAGGGAGTGCTTTATGTTTAACAGGCCGCCGAAAAGTAATTTCGAAAGTAACAATGGTAACGCTGAAATGGTTATTCACAGAAGGAAAACAACTCTCTCCTTATTTTGTCTTGCCTTGAAGGAAAAGTAATCGGCTACTTACAACTAGTCGGATCCTTAACGTTTTTAGACACGAGAATTAGGCTTAATCGCGTGGTTTTATTTTTAGGAGGCCACCGTAGGCTGCCAAATCCAGCTATCATTCACAGGGAAACGCCTAGTAGACAGTATTTCAACACTGGCTACATAGAACTCCTACTTATTACTTTTGGAGCTTTACGCGCACAACTTTCAAATTAATTGGATGGGAAATGAAAACAAAATTGGGTGCATCTGTCCACTATCTATGAGTAGTCAAATTCCTTATGAACTTTGGGCCAAATGAAACAAAATCATGATTCGTCAGTTCATGCATCATGGCTATCATTTAATCGATGACAGATTTACACCCGTTTTTGATGGACGTGCTTCTAGGATTTCACAACTTTGATTTGAACTGACAAAACATCACTATCTAAATAAAATAGAATACTCACCTATTTTAAATTTCCAACCCCGGATGATAGAATAATTGTGTTTTACACAACAAAGTTATGTGAAATGTTCAAAAATGCATGTCGAAAAGTCCCACTCAATACTTATGGATCCGTGAGCTCGGCGAACCCGCTACGATGCGTTTGGCATGAAGTCAGCTTTTCTAGATGATCAGACCGCACAACAACTGGCCAATCAGATGCACGCAGAATCCGACCAATGATAATCCCGATGACGGCACCATGCCTTACTCCGACCTAACCAGTGGTTACTGAATCCGAAAATTGGCCCACAAAGCACCGAAAATATTATTATACCCAATTACAAGAGAAAAGTCTTCTGCTTTTTGGAAAAACGACGGCCTATGCAGGACAGCAACCCTGTTTTCACGTTTATGACTGTATAAAACAAAAAACTGATTGTTGCTAGGTGCCTCTATTTTGTACAATCTGTACTCATGAAGACGGTGTACATTGATGATCTATTAATGTACCCAAATTTGTTCTTATCAACAATGTATGCCGAAATTATCCAAATGCCAGTGCAATGATAGCCGATACTTTGTTTATTTACATAACGAATTGAGAAGTTTCCTTGTACCAATGTGATGAAGCGGGTCTGACAATCATTATTCAGAAAAAAATAAATAAATCATTCAGCTGTAGCACCCTTTCGGTGCCTAGCTGCCATGCCACTAGAAGGAAGCACGAGGGCTGGGATACTCCCAGGTTGCCCAAGCCTAGACAGGGGAAGTCGAGAGGCAGAGGTCGGGTTCGAACCACGGAACTTCCGGTCAGTAAATTCGCGCTCTAACCACTTGGCCCATCTCGCCCCATTCAGACACTGTAGAGCTGATAACCAATCAAATTACTTTGACTAGATTTCAGTGGAACTGGACTATCTGAAATCTTTTATAGACAGAAGTATGCGGCATATGGCACAATGGGAGATTCCTCTTGGTCAGACCACAATGGATTTGGTAGATTTATCTTTTATATTAACTTTTGGTTACGGAGCTTAGGTATAAATGAGCAAGAAATTGTCAAATATCTGGAGTAGTTGTGTTGTACGGATCATTCTCGAACCATAAAGGCACACGTACCCTTACTTGGTTCAAAAAACCTTTGTCGCTGTTGTTCTAACATGCACATTTAGTATATAATGAAACCCAAGTAAAATCATGCGTCCGGTTGTTCTCCACAAGAATGTTTGATTGCAAATCATAAGTACTATACTCAGAAAGGGGGATGTCGAAAGACACATAATCCATCGCCAGGTTAGCATAAAGCAGCCTCGCGTAACTTTTGGATGGCAGAAAACGGATTTTGTCGTTGGAATTTCATTTACGAAAGCAAAGTTTCGAACCGGAACTCTTGACAATACTAGTTACTTTCAACCTGACTTTGACAACCTGCGACAGCATTCGTTTATTGTTTTCAGAATTCAGAAGACAGTATAGTTCGGCAAAATCTTAAACAATGTGGAAACCAATTTGAGCGCGTCACTGAGTGATCGTTAGCTGTCCGTAAAACCCAAAAAGCGTTCCTTTGTGATGTATGATTGAAACTGAGAAAAATGGACAAGTGATTAAACTGCTACGTCGCAAAAGTAACGAAGAATGAACTCCTAATGTAACAAGAAATCGGGTCACTTGATGGATCACTGTGCTCCGTCATAGAAAGACCGTACCTCCAGCTTTCGAAATTAGGTCACATTCGTTAGTCTTATATGAGAGACATCATTTTGCACTTTACTTATTTTGTTTTCTCAAGAACCGATATCCGCTTGATTTAGGAATGTAAGTCACGACTGTTGAATGGTTAACGATATTTTCCACATATAGTCGCCAACAACTGATGGCGTAGCGATGCTCAGATTACAAACTGTTTCAGACTGTATCTCTGTCCTCCATGGTGTGGTGTTTCACTAGGTCGCTTTTTGCCCTTTCCGACAACCTCAACTAGGTTGCTCCTTGCCTTCATCTTTGTTGATAGTGCAGTTTTCCATGGGGTCTGAAGCCCATTTCGGTTGTTTGTATATGATGCACGCAAACAGTATTCATCCTGAATTTTCTCAAAGCTTATTCTCGATTTGAAGCTCATCTGTGGACTACAATGGATGAAATTACAGATAATTGCGTTATGGACCAGAACTGGTAAGAAACCCGTACGCCTCAAGATAAGCTATCACCGCGCACTGCGTAAAAAGGAGGATCAACAGATGACAAAGCGGACACCTATCTTCTGTTCGAAAGGTAACGAACCGAACCAGTCATCAAAATCAAGCAGTAAATTCAAGGTTCTTTGTTTTGCTGTCGCTTTCTTGTGGGATAGTAACTCATGTCACCTAGGCAAGTTACAACTTACTTCGTTTTATCAGGTATACCTGAATACCTGGTGTGACTATGAACAAAATATCTATCCCGCAGAACTCCAAAACTGCAACCAAAAGGTTTCCAAGTGGGTTTCGTGTGTGTGTCACGCTACCTTACTGGGAAGTCCTGACTGGAGGGTCAGCCGATGGTTACAACAGTGTGAATGATTTACCAGTCGTATATCATTCTCAGCTGGTGGCGGTACTGGAAGAAATACGCAGTTCCAAATGCTATTGTCCTTCTGTACCATTTCTCAACTTTGGAATCAGTGATGGCAAAATTAATTAAATCGTCGTACCGTTTTTAAACTGTTAGTATCTTCTTGACCAAAAAGTTTCACACTTTGGAACAAGAATCAAGTAGAACGCTGCTTTTCCAGAAGCGATCCCATGAAGGAGATGAGTTGGAGAGAATAACTAAGATGAGCTCTTTTCGCGGCAAATTTACTGAGCACGGTCTCGAACTTTGAATATACAGCGATAGTGAAGGATCCGATCTAAAGAAATCGGCCAGCCCCGTTTTCACGACACACAGAACAAGTAAATTGTCCTCCAGTACATACCCAACTCGCTTCAACCCTGGTTTGAGCAAGTGATAGTATGTGACAGTGCTTCAGACATCCGGTTCGTTAGATCCGCCTTACTGAATCACCGACTGTTCGGTAACCAATTGGTAGGCTTAATTTGTGCAAAATGTGATGCGATTAACAAACGAAATGTGAACGAATGCAACGCTTGAAACCCTAAAATTACAGCTACACGTTCACAATATACGACGTTCTTTTGCCACATACTATGGCCTTTTACGGCGCCAAATCACGTTTCTTTGACATCCATAAATGTCAATATCCACCAGACATTGCAGAACACAAAATAAACAGCGAAATATTGCTAGGAGGGATGAATTCCTAAGTTTTCAGTGTATTCAAGTTTGAGTTAATCAAACCCTTAACTTTCTCGGAGTGGGATTCCTTCCCTGAATTTGGAATCACTGTCTTATGCGCTGCGTGTTCATTTATATACGGCCCAGTCAGTCGGCTCTAACTCCAGAGTGACGATCAGGCCTTTATAAGTTTAGCTTTCGTATAATATCAGCGCATTTGTCAGCACCCACGGTGTTGCGTGGCAGCTGACTACACTACGAATATGTAAACAGTATCTCCTTAAAATGACCAAACTCCATTTCACAGATCGGATGCAGGGTTGATATTCTCAAAAAACTCTCTTTTTAGTGTAGCAACTCGCTTCCAGGCAACCGATACCTAGGTAAAACGTAAGTATAGTGACGGTGATGTGACCTGACTTAATAGCCATGGTCTCGAAGCAACTTTTAACTCACAGTCAGAGTTGAAAGGCGTGCTGAAGCAGCTTCAGTGATGTTATCTGCCTCTTAAAGTCGCTAGATGTAAGGTAGTCCCAATTAATACGTTTCGGTGGTATCAGTACATGTTCTATGACCTCCTCTCCCAAGTTGTCAAAATCAAGACCCTTACGCAAGTCAATGCCTCTCACTACTGACTTCGTTGGGTCCGCATAGGTGAAGCAGTATTTATCAGAACCAACAACCGCACGTGAATTTCGTAACCGCGTCACATTAGATGCAATTTCCCCCGCTTAGTTCTTCAGAGTTCAAAGAGGCCCGTTGAATTTTGGAACACATAAGTTCTGGGAAACTGTGACTTACTTTGGGCCATTAAACACAATGAGACTTGGTCGAACCTACTGCTGAATAAAAACCATGCTCTTCATTCTAATTTGTTTGTTGTTGTCCGAAATTCTGTTATACGATAAAACTTTTCAGTGCTTTATTTGTTTTATTTTTCTTATATGATCCGACACCTCGTGCGCTGCGCTAAATTGTCTTCATTTAAAACCGTTGACAAAGGTACTCTCGCGCACCCATGGTCATCTGTTTTTCATTCATCACAAATAAGACTGTTTAACACGGCTGTATTTTCCACGGATTAGTGGAGCATTCCATAGTTGCATTTGGCAAGAGAATGAGCGCTTATGTAATTCCCACCAATTTTGAAACAATATGTCCATGTTAAAGTGCTCATCCTATATCCACAGAGAGTCCACTGACAATTATTCACACCGCACGATGTTCCTGAGATGTCACTAAAATGGTATGGCAAAACGAGTCCAGAAAAAGTCTCGATAGAAGGCTACAACAAAGTTCACTGAACCCTTTCTTGTTGAGCTGGCTTGTTGAAATGTGAGAGGCCAACGACTGGGTAATCGCTGACTTTTTCGCCGAGGTTTCGAACTGACTTGTAAAGGTTTCATCGCTAATCAAGGTAAAAGCATCAGTGAGCGGCTGGGTGGGCACATCGATGATGTCACCTCGATTGGTGACGAAACGTCTACAGAAGATCAGATCGAAGAAAATGTGATCAACCACCACCAAACTCACCCGAGCCACTAAAGTTCCGGTACATTTTAAATGAACATGTCTTTCGAGCTTGATGTTGCTGGTACTCACGCTTTGTTCTCCAATATTTCCGGTATCTTCAATGTGTCCAAATATTGGTAGCTCGGGTGATTTTACTGGTGGTTGATCAGATGGCCGTTGGTCTGTTTGCTGGGCTTGGAAACTTGCATTCAAACTTTTAGTCCCCGGTCGAGGGGAGATCGTCAGTGCGCAGTTACCTTGCCACGTTTATGTAGTGTTCTTAGAGTACCTAATGTGATTGACCAACGGGTATGCACCTTTCTTGTAACATTACAGGCCCGTTCGCGATTTGCTCTCAGACGGTCAATATGATACCTCACTTTGATGAGTCGTTCTCTATCCTTCTTCACTTTATAGGTTCTGTGTTAGTCCTGGAAAGTGGATCAATTTCCTCGATTTTTGGCCTGCCTCTTCTATACCAGGTCACTCCAGGTTGTCCCGCGAATCCAAATTCTGTTGCCCGTAATTGTTATGCTCGCAGTGGTCGATAGAATGGGTCCATTTCAATTTTTTATGGCTTTTTCAGTAGACCGCCATGTTCTCATGAACCGATGTTCTTGATTTGTTCTTTCTTGGACCAAAATATGAACTTTCCCCAGTCGAATTTTATCCGTCTTGATTTTCGCGCACACATGTATTCTGGCAAACAGCTTCCTTCCCGTTCGTCCCACGCGGTGGACGTCACAATCCCCAAACTGAATCTTTTGTACGACGTTGATCCTCACCATTGTGTCCAACCGTCCCTTTTGGGTAGACAGTGCTCACAGATTTTTTGATCACAGCTGTGTTATACTGTCGTAT